GATCTAGCTCTGCCTTGGTTATATGAATATGGGGGCTAGGTTGATGATTTCTATCTGATGACAAAAACCATTTTCTCTACTTCCTGGGTACTCAGGTAGACCATCATTCTTATTTTCTCCTACAGTTGGGAGTGGCCTTGTAAACTGAGTTCTGGCCAACAGAACATGGCTGGAAGTGATGAAGTACAGTATTTCCAGACCTGGACTGCTGAAAACCTGATGTTTGATCTTGAATGTTCTTTCCCCTCTCTGATTGGCTGGAAACCATGACAACCTTCAAGACAACTTTGAGAGCCTTGTGTTGAAGATGTAAAAGCTACAGGATGGAAGGCTCCTGGTTTTCTTGGATCCCTGTTGGGAAGTGCTCTGCCCAAGCAGAATCACCCATACTGAGTTGCCAAATGAGTGAAAACAAAATAACGTTTGTTGTGATAAAAATTCCTGAGCTATGGAGGCATTACCTCAACTAACAAAATGGGGAACCCAGGAGGCAGAGACGTTCTTAGCATCACCATGAGGACCTGGGGAATTTGTGGGGAAGGGGCTTGAGTGAAGAGAAAAACAATAATTCAGGCTGTAGTAGGGCCAATCGAGTCTGGGAAGAATTCTTTGAATGAGATAATGACAGTCTTCCTTTCCATGAGGCCAAATTTATAGAGAGGAACATCTGGAGCTCACTGCAGGCTGACTCACTGACACATTCCCATCTGAACATGGATTTTACCCTCAGTCTCTTCAAATGCCTTTGACAACTTGTATCCTTGGAAACCCTCCATATTTAACCTACTAACAGGTGAGCAATACAGCTTTTTGGACAAGTTAAAGAAACAAGGTTTCATATTAACATAAAATAATTTATATTTGATTTCCTGCTTTAATTCAGTTCTGACAACAAGTCCTCAAAATTGGACATGCAGAATCTATTTTTTTTTTTGCTCTGGATGGAGAGATCAAGGCTGAGGGGAAGTCGACTAGACTAAGATCACATAGTCAAGTGCAAGAGACTTGAACTCATAGTTCGAGGTCATTTTGAAGCAATAAGATTCGAGCCTGTTGAGGCCCTGCCCATGTCTTCTGGACCCACCTGAGCTCACTGCAGCTGAGGTGGAGAGTTCCAGAGCGTACTACGAGTACCCCAATGTCCAAGAACCTGTACCTCTCAGGTTCTCTGCCTACAGGCTTGTCTCAGCACCCTGGGAACTTGCTTACCTTAGCTGGGAAAATGAGAAGGAATTGATAGCCCAGGGGCTAAGACTCATGCAGTGGGGGACAGGAGCCAACAGATAAATGCCACAGCCCCCCATTCCCCAAGGTGCACCCCACAAGACTGCTCAGACGATCCCTGGTGGGGTTGAAGCCAGCACGTGTCCAGAGTTCATTAGCACACATTAAGGTGTCTCCCCTGCATTGCCAACTGCTCCTTCACCTCTGTTTTGTGGGATTCCCTCCCTAATCGACGTTGTCTTTGGGTCTGCTTTCAGAGGAACCCCACGGTGAGGCAGTACACGTGGAGTAGGGGGAGTCAGAAGTGCTAGGGGAAAGCCGTTTTCTCTCTTTTGCCTTCTCAGAACTGGATTCAGATAACCTCTCAAGGCAGTGCGCAAGGATAAAGGCCACGTGACTCCCTTATCAGACACCTCCTTTCAGACTCTCTTCCCTGTCATAGGCGGTCGGTGACATCTGCCAGTCTGGACGCTCCTACGCATTGGTGACTTTGCTTGGCTGCCCAGCTGGCACCAGGCACTAGATGAGCAGCCTTGGTCCCAGACAGCAGCAGATGCTGCCAGCTCACCAGCTCCTGCCAGCAATTCCGGGGTTGGGACTGGGCAGGGGCGTTCGATCACTTGGCCCGGCTGCCTCGGTTCCCGGTCTCTTGCCTGTAGCGTGTCGTCAAGAGGGAGGCCTGGATGATAGAGATGTCAGCTTAGTGGTGACTGATCTGTTGAGACAAGCTTAGTGTGGCACAGGGCCATGGGGAGCGGCAGAGGAGCCTCAACCAGATGCCAAAGGGCCCACAGCTCTGAGTCTGACGTGCTGAACTGTGGCAGGCTGGGTGTGCAAAGATGCCATCTGTGGGTTAGCTCCCAGAACAGCTGTGTTCATTCATTCCTGCAATCATTCATTCACTCACTCATATCATTTCTCCTGATGCTCCTTACATGCCTGGCATGGTGGTGCAAACCAGGCATACGCTAGAGCAAGGGACGTGTGAGCTCTTCCATCCTTGAACTTCTAACATAGAATGGAGTGGAGGCAGATATGGATCAAACAGCAAACAAATATAGTTATATGACTGCGGGAAGCATCCTGTCTCCTTTTTGTCATTTCCACCCTCTGTCTGGAGCCTGAGTTCTTACCAAGATTGAGTGTTTTAGGGACTGGCATTGTGGCTCAGAAGGACAAAATGTCACTTGAGGTGCTGGCATCCCACATCAGAGCACTGGTTTGACTCCTGGTATCTCTGCTTCCGATCCAGCTCCCTGCTAATGTGCCCAGGAAAGCAGTCCTTGGGCCCCTGCCACCAGTGTGGGAGACCCAGATGGAGCTCCAGGCTCCTGGCTTTGACCTGGCCCAGCCCTGGCTGTTGTGGGCATTTGGGGAGTGAACCAGCAGATGCAAGATCTCTTTCTCTCCCTCTGTCTTTCTGTCTGTTCCTCTGCCTTTCAAAGAAATTATTAAATCTTTATTTAAAAAGACTGAGTATTTGAAAGGTAGATAAAAGTGTGATTGAAATTGCAGATTTATCCCAGGAGGCACAGAGCCACAGCATTGGTAAGAAAAAGCACACAGAAATCCTCCGAGCCCCTCTGACAATGACCAGCATTCTTTCTCTGAAAGTCACATTGACACAGTTCCGTAACAGTAACTCCTGGAAGGGCTGTGGGATCATTCTTTACAGAGGAGTGGAAATGGCAGACTCTAGCTATACAGTGTGACCCTTGCCCCGCTCAACAGCCAGCCTACCACATCCTGATATCTCAGGACTGAGCAACACAAGGGGGCAGAGTTCGGAACATGGGCTTTCATTCTTTGCAGGGAGAGTGGCAGCCCGTGTGGGCTTGCATCTCTAGGGTCTGCCTTGCACTTCTCATAGACGCTGGCCTGGATCTGCGGATGCTGAGGTTGGGGCCTGGGCTTCCTGCTTGTTGGGGGCCAGCTCCCAGCTTCGGTCGCTGCTGCTCTCTGGGGCTCCTCGAGCTCTGGTTCCTGCAGATGCTATTTGGAGCAGCTCCCAAGCCATTAAAGCCTTCCTCGTGGGGAACTCCACAGCTGTCAGAGAGGAGGGGCAGGGGCTGGAACAGCCAGTTCAGATTCACTTCAAGCCAGAAGTGGAACAATCCCTGTTACATTATTAATCCCTGGAGCCATGTAAAGTTTCATCTGTTTTCTCTCAACGGTTTTTTTTACAAGCTACATTTTCCAAAAGCTGTAAGACCTATGACCAAACAGTATCTTTCACATGTGTGTGAAAATCCCGAGGTGACTCCTACAGGGCTGAGAACGGGGGTATGGTTTCTAATCTTGCTTTTGATACAACAAGCCAGCTGCGTGGCAATGGGAGAGCCACTTTTCCCCTCTGGGCCCCAGCATCTGTATTGGTTAGCTGTCACATGGAAAAATGCCCACAGTCTCAGTAGCATGCAACAAGAACAATTAGTACCACAGATCCGGGCTTGGCTGGGGCTTGGCAGATCTAGCTTGGGCTCAGCTTGGCAGCTGTGCTACATAGGCAGTGGTGGCTCTGCGTCCTCTCCTAAGACTGGGCTTTGGCTGGGCCAGCTCTGCTCCACCTGCCTCTCCTCCCCCTTGGGCCAGTGGACCAGGCAGGTGCTAAAGTCTGAATGGTTTTTATCCCTCTCCCCAACATTCATGTGTTGGAAACTTAATCCCCAACACAACAGTGAAAGGAAGTGAGGGCTTTTAGGAGGTGCTTAGGTCACCCAGTGGGCTCTGCCCTCATGAAGGGGTTAATGTCATTATTAAAAGGGCAGCAATGGACTCACTGTCTTCTGCTCCTCCATCATGTGAGGACGTGGACTTTGTGTCTTGCAGTTCAGCCTCCAACCACGGGAGCATACTACAAGAAGGCCCATGCTTTAGAAACCAGCCAGAGTCAGATATTCGGTTACAGCAGCACAAATGGACCAAGAGAGCAGGTGTGTTCTTTCTAGGTAAGAACAGAGCGCCAGGAGGAAGTGGGAATATGTGCTGTCTCTTAAGGCCTAGGCTCAGAACTAGTTTCAGTCCCGTTCCATTGGACAAAGCAAACCACTTGGCCACACCTCAAATCAGAGGGCAAGGACGCATCGTCCCGCCATGATATGGCCATGGCCAGGGTGTGGCTGTAGAGGTGGGGTGAAGCATTGGGACCATTACTTCAATCTACTCTCCTCACCTATAGCATGAGGAGATCATCATCAGATCACGTGACTCCTTGGGTCCATCTAAGCCTACACGTTCTGTGAGTCTAAATAATGATGTAGAAACAGAGCACTGTAAAAGGATGTCAGCCAGGGAAAGCAAGCAAGAAAAATAAGTCTGGTCTGTTTTAATGAAATTTCTCCGAACATATGAACAAATCACAACCAGGTATGAAAAATACGGTTATTGAAATCGGCCCACCTCAGCCAGATCGGGCCACTAATTTTCCCAAGCTCAGCATATGTGAACGTCTATATAAAAATGCAGGAGGGTGGTGCTCCAAATTCCCACACCTGTCCTTGCGTCCCTGGTACCAATAAGGTGAGTCAAGCCCCGGTAGAGGCTAAAGGCTGGGCACCTCCCCATGTGTACAACGCTTTCTGCTTTGGAGGCAAAAGAAGCAGATTCCTGCCAGAGAATATGCAGTTTAAAAAAAAAAAAAAAAACAAATTATATCAGCAGGACTCTCTTTGCTGGAAGTGTGAACTTGATAGAAATCAGAAATGCAAATGGTATTCAAGTGCGGTTAAAACTTCCGCTTTCCAAAAGGGGGAAAAATTAATTGCTTTTATACTTACCGTAGTGATAAGCCGGAGGCGCATACTATACACAAGGAACAGCATCCAGAAGCCTTCCAAAAGGAGGTGGGAAGGGAGGTAATAAATCTCCTCTAGAAAGCCTCACGGTGCTCGTTGCAGATGTGCGTGGCATGTAATTTTTCAGCCGTGCACTTCAGGGTCTTGCCAAGAGTTTCAGCTTCACCCGACTTCTGCGAAGTGGGCCTGAGAAGGAGCTGTTTGGGAGAAGAGTTATATGTGAGAAGAGGAGAGCCTAAGCAGCGGGGTTGGCGTCCAGGACCCCTCATCTTCTGGGGCCACTTGTCAGATTCAGGTTAGTCCCGATGGAGTGTGGAGATGTCCGGGTGTTGTTCTCTGGCTTGCTTCTGAGGGACAAGAAATCGAAGGGGAACAAAACAAGTATTTCCCAGTCTACACATGGCTTTGGCTAAGTCCTTCAATAGAGGAGTCTTTAGGTCTCAAGGCTGAACGCCTTGCCGCTTTGAGGTCTCTAGAAATTCCACAGTATCCCACTTGGGCAGGCTAGCATTGGCAGAAAAGCATTTGGTCCCCTCCCTCCCCACCAATGTGTATTCTCTCTCTCTCTCTCTCTCTCTCTCTCTCTCTCTTATTTGCATTGCTTGCTTCTTGGAAGACCAAGCTGTGCATTAGACTCATTTACCCATTCCACTGGTGCCTCACTACAAGGACCTGTGCACCTGCCAGATTCCATCTGTGCAGCCTACGGATTCCTGAAGGTGGGGGCTGGGTGCCGCCCTTTTAGAAGCTGTGGCCTTTCCCCTTCCCTCTCTTCTTAAAGCTGTTTCTCCTCCCTCTCCTGGTTCTGTTCTGCCTTGCAATCGTGTTTCTGGCATCATGTTCTAGGGGACTATTCTAGCCCTATTTGTCAGCACACCCTCCCCAAATATCCATTAGTTGTGTGGTTACAGCCTTGAATGAACTTTGCACCATTCCCGGCCTCCCAGTTAGACTATCTCAATAGAGGGCCACGCTATTAATCTCCTCGGGCACTTCCAGGGCTTACAACTCCCCCAAGTTCTACAGCCTTTTTGCCATACAAAATCAGACAATCTCACTTACATGTGCAATTGACACAAGTTGATCTGATAGAAACAGAGAATAGGCCGGCGCCATGGCTCAATAGGCTAATCCTCTACCTTGCGGTGCCGGATTCTGTCCCGGTTGCCCCTCTTCCAGGCCAGCTCTCTGCTATGACCCGGAAGTGTAGTGGAGGATGCACTGGCCGCAGCGCGCCGGCCGCAGCAGCCATTGGAGGGTGAACCAACGGCAAAAGGAAGAACTTTCTCTCTGTCTCTCTCTCTCTCTCACTGTCCACTCTGCCTGTCAAAAAAAAAAAAAAAAAAAAAAAAGAAAGAAAGAAAGAAAAAGAAACAGAGAGTAGAAAGATGGTCCCCAGGGACTGGGGAGAAAGAGAGATGGGAAAAAGGAAGATGTTGATCAAAGGATAAAACCTTCAGTTAGACCTGAGGAATAAGTTGGAGTGATCTATGGTACTTCATAGTGACCACAGAAAATCATCACGCATCATATATTTCAAAATTGCTAAAAATAGATTTTTAGCATTCTTGCCAGATCCCCAAAAATGATAAATTGGTATGATGACAGATATGATGATTGGCTTGGTCAAATCTTTCCGTAGTGTATACATTGATGAAAATATCACATTGTTCCCCATAAATACACACAATTATCATTTTTCAGTTAAAAATAAACGTTAAAATGAAGATGTTTTCGCTAAGTATGAGAATGTGTTCAGAGACAGCAGTAGTGTGGGATGTGCAGAGACTAGCTAGATGTCCATCAAATCCATTTTTCTTTGTTCCTGGCCACTTAGTTGGACTATATTTCCCCGCTGGTGGAGTGTGGCCATGTGGCTGCCTCCGGCCAATTAGACACACACAGATTTGATGTGTACTACTTCCAGGCCTGGCCCCCAACGACTCCCCACATGGCCTCTTGATCGGTTTCTTTCATTTCCCATAGCTGTTGGTTGACTAGCAATGCCCAGGGTGATGCTGGAATGCAGGAGATTACCAGTCCTGGCTGCCCATTACAGACACCAGAGGGGCTGAAAACAATGTCCACGTCCTTCCCTGAACCAGTGGAATTAAAATCTCTGTCAGAGAGGCAGAGCTTTCCAAGGACAGAGCCCATGCTTCTGACACCAACTGGACTTTACATGAAAAAAAAAAAACCTTCCATTGTGTTAAGCTAGTGATAGCTTTACCTTAATTAATATACATTACCCTAAATAATGAATGCAACTGCATTTCTGCGAATGGATTCACCAGACCTGTTCTGATTCTTGGCTGAAAGGTGGCTGTTGGTAGGAGGTGAGTTAAGAGGTTCACACCAAGGAAAGGGGCATGGACCTATTGCCTGGGCACCTAGGAGATACTTGAGATCCTTGGGCCGTGAAGGGAGAGCCACAGTGTGGTGAGGGGTGGAACATAGGAGAAGGGAAGTGAAGGCTCGTAGGCCATCGAGGCCCTGCCTTTGCACGGTCTGAGGGAACACGTGCCAGTGAAGGGGAAAGGGGAGTTTGTTTTTGTGAATTGGAGCACACTGGTTTCTACATTTGATGTCCTTTTCACTCTGGGAACATGTCACCTGGGTTGTAACGCCTTTCAAGTGGACGGGGAACAGCTCCTTGGACTTACGGGGCCACATGTCTCCCTTTGGAGCTGCGCCTCCCGGAGTAATAGAAGCTGGCTTGCTCGAAGTGTTTTAACTCTTGCTGGCTCAATCGCCAGCAGGAAGTCCACAAACGGGGTGCTCTCTGCTTAGCTCATGGCCTTTCCTGGCTCCTTCTCTTTCTCTTTCTCCTCCTTTTCCTCTTCCTCTCCCGCCTCCTTCCTTTCCTTCTCTCCCCTTCTCCCTCCAGCCTCTCTGTGCCCTGGCACATCATCTTCCCTCTTCCCTCTCTTCTCTTTTCTCCTTCTTTCCTCTTTCTCTCCCTCCCCCCTTGGCCTTTTACCCCTTTCCACCTTAAATGCCCTTTCCCACTCCTTTCTTTGCCCTGTGTCCCTCTCCTTGCTCCATCCTCTGCCTGCACCCTTCCCCTCTTGTCCAAGTTTTTCAGTGACAGGTGGCTTTACACTCCAGTCACACCCCTAGAAATCCTAACCAACCAGGCTATGGGTGGATTTGCCCATCATTGACGCTTCCATCCAATCAGCTTTGTTGGGGTGGGACTCACCATGCTCAGGCACTGTGCTACAAATGGGATGCAGAGACACACAAGGTGATCTTTGCTGCAGAACCACTTACAGCCTTGTGAAGGGTGGAGGTGGGAATTTACGTGGCTGGGAACCTGAGAGGCTGAGGAGGAAATGGTTAAGAGTTAGCAGCTGCTTCATGTCTAGCGGAGGGGCCCAAAGTCCCCAAGGAGCAGATGTTTTCATTCTTGACCCCATCGCTGAAGCTGAATGTTTTAAGTTTGTGGCTATAAGGCAAGTACATACCCCTGCTGTGCAGAAGCCTTGGAAAAAGCTATCTGTCCCTAAAGCTGAGGGAGGAGGAACTTGAACTTGTGTGCAAATTGACATAGGGAGCAAGAGATCTTGTGGGAGATTCAGGATTATAACTTCTATCCCTTCTCTTTGAGGATTCAGGATGGTTTTCGACCATCGCCAGTGGATGGACGGGCATGACGGGCTCCAGTTTCCAAGCAAGGAACTCAGTGTTCATGAGGTGCTTGTGCACAGAGAAGATGGCTACACTCTTGACCCAACCCTCTGAACCCCAAGGCGTGTCTTCTGGAAAAACGTGCATCTATGTGGGTAACTAGTGAAGCAGATGCTTTGGAAAAGAAGTGATCCCGCAATCTAAGGCCTACCGTGGTTTGGGCCCACTGCAGTCAAGTGTAACCCTTGGAGTTATGTGTCTGGTCCCCACAGCACAGGGCAGTAGAGCAATTCTTAGGCTGGACACCATCAGAATTGTTCCATTTCTTTGGTGATGGTTTAATGGACACTGAGCTATTTTTAATGAAGAAAACCACATATACAGAAAGGCACAGAATCCGTGAGTGCTAACTCAACTAACGATTGGGCAAGCATCACTTAGGTCAAGACAGCTTGCCCAGATCTCAGAAGCCCCCTTCATGTCCTCTTCTCATCGTGGTCCTTCCCTCCACTCTGTCTACTCTAGTTCCTAAAACCACACTTCCCTTGTGACTACTTTAGGATTATGTGTGTGTGTGTGTGTGTGCGCATGCGCACACAGACTCACACAATCTGGACTCTTGTATCTGACTTCTTTAGTTCAGTGTTATGTTTGTGGGGGTCATCCACAGGGCTGAGTGTCACTCTTTCTTTTCCTCTCTGACAGTGCTCTCTTGTATGAACACATCCCGACTCATCTCTGCACTTGCCTTTTGATGGACACTAGGCTGCTTCTGGTTTGGCTGTTCCAAACCAAACTTCCCTGCATGTCCTAGAATCTGTCTCCTGAGACACACAGGAAGTGTATCTTGTCCATTTTTTTATTTCTATAACAGAATACTTGAGATTGTATCATTTGTAAGGAAAAGAGGTTTATTTAGCTCACAGTATCAGGGGGCTGGGAAGGCACCAGCATCTACTCAGCTTCTGGTAAGGGCTTTATAAAGGGCTTCAACTCGTGGTACAAAGTGGGAGGCAGCAGGTGCATGCAACATATACCATGCACAAGTGATCACATGGCAATATAGGAAGCCAGAGAACATGGAGGGAGTTAAACTCTCTAACAACCCACTCTCGAGGTAATGAATACAGTCCCAACAGAGTGAGGACTCAGTCCCAAGGGACTGCATTGACCTATGCGTGAGGTCTCTGGTCCCATGACCTAAACACCTCCCACAGGTCTTGCTGCATTGGGAAATTCAGTCACTCTTTTTTTTTTTTTTGGACAGGCAGAGTTAGACAGTGATAAAGAGAGAGAGACAGAGAGAAAGGTCTTCCTTCCGTTGGTTCACCTCCCAAATGGCCGCCATGGCTGGTGCTGCGCTGATCTGATGGCAGGAGCCAGGTGCTTCCTCCTGGTCTCCCATGCAGGTGCAGGGCCCAAGCACTTGGGCCGTCCCCCACTGCACTCCCGGGCCACAGCAGAGAGCTGGATTGGAAGAGGAGCAACCAGGACAGAATCCAGCTCCCCAACCGGGACTAGAACCCGGGGTGCTGGCGTCGCAGGCGGAGGATTAGCCAAGTGAGCC